GAAAATCAAATACACTTTTTCAGTTTTTGCATTTTAGGTAGGTTTGCTAAGGTTAGATTCATATATTTAATACATTTTAATTAATACATTACAATTAATAAAATTAAGAATGTAAGAATTTCGCTCTGAAACATGATAATTGCTATTGATCAGCATGCTTAATTTTAGACAATAATCCAAGAATTTCGTTACAAACAGTAAACAATTAGGCCTACTAGAGAAATTTTATGTGGGAGCGGGATCTGAGCGGGAATTGGTTCACGGTGAGCGTGAGCGGAATATTAACGGAGCGCTTGCTTGTGCGGTTAGAGCGACTGAGCAGAGCGCACGTCCATAGAGCGGAAAACGTAGCGGAGTGTCACACCGCTCCACTTCGCTCACATGCTCTGGTGTAAACTGTTACCGTCACTTTTGATCAATTGAAAGCATCTTTGCTGAATAACAATATTAATTTCTTAAAGAACAAACAAAAAAGTAATAAACCAAAAACTTTTAGGCAGTAGTGTAAATTGTACATTATTTAGGTGTATATTCAAAAATTACTTGTCAATGGATCACAACAAGGAAACACTTTCTATATTTACATGAACATTGTTAAATATTTTACTTATTTAGAACAATTAAAATTGCATCATGACTCCGTTTATCTGCATTATATTGGCCAACAGTATGCACCTGTTTCTTTTCTCCACCTCAGCCACAAGCTCATCAGTAGAGAACTGGCCTCTGACCACCAGAATGAGGTTCTTAATGACGTCCTCAGAGCAGTCCACGTCCAGCAGCCCTCCAATCACCACGGGTAAACGGCTGGGGTTCACCTGACAAAACCAGTTAATCGCTCAATCAGCCACTGCTACAGAAACGCCACACCGAGAGCAGAGATGATCACTTGAGAATCACAAGAGTTGCTGCAATCATGTCTCAAGTACCTTCTGAACATAGATCTCGATGTACTTCTGCAGGTTGTTGCGGTACAAGTAGAGCACAAGGTCATGGACAAAGTCAAAGCGGTCACACACAATGATGAGGGGCAGCTGGTCAGTCAGTTTTGCTTCCTGTTAAAGACAAGGTAAATTGTTCTTAATAGCATAATTAACTTTTTCATTTCAAGATGCTTGTTAAAAGCCTAAACAAATTCAAGAGCCCTTCAGGAGTCATACCTTGAGGAAATTCTTTACACGCTCAGGATCGTAACAGTTGCTCTCTCTGCAGATTCTCTCCACTTCTTTGATTTGACCAGTTTTACAAGCAGCCTGGATATATTTGAAGTGAACCTCTGGATCCTGGCTGAAGTTCACAATGGATCCCAGGAAGTAGAACAAACCTGCAGGCCACACGAACACACATGCTCATGAGATCGTATTCATTTCCATGATTTAGTTCAAACGGAAATCAAGTAATCAATTTAAAACAACTGTATTAAACTATACTGGTATCAGGCCCGATACTACACTCCTGTACTCGTAAAAAATGCTCTGATACCAAAAGCCGATACAACACACAGCGTGTGAACAGAGCTGTGTCCAGATAAAGCATCACTGACAACAGAACAAACAGAGTAGAATGGATTTATTAGAGATTAAGAATGTCTATGAAGTACATGTAGGCAATGTATTTAATATAGCTAACGTTAAACATTCAATATTCATGCCTGTATAGCGGATGTGCACGAGCTGATAAGCAAAGCACGGCGAGTGGATTGAGCACGCGGCGGCACAGATGTGCGAGCGAATATCCCTTTCTGACAGACATCACTGGAAAGTTTGCAGTTCAGTCAGATGTCAAAACTAAAGCAAGTGAGTAAACCAATGCAAAAGACAAGTTAATAGAGTTATTTGTCAGTAAAAAGAAAGAGAGAGAGTCAGAGAATGATCTTGACTGCTGTTTGCTCATTTAGCACACGCATCATTTGGATTAAAACTAAATTGTAAATATGAAACAAACAAAAATTAAAGGGTACCCAATATTTTTAAAACATTACAAATGCAAAGAAAATAAAAATATCGTATTGGCGAGTACCAAAAATGAAAGCATCGGTATCGGACTCGTTCTGAAAAAAGTGGTATCGGTGCATCCCTAGTTTAAACTTTTTTCAGGTAAGTGTCCATGTGGCACTTTATTGTAAAAACAGTAATGCACTGTTATTAAAATTATCAGGACAAGTCAGACCAAACACACAAATATGGAGGTACACACTGAATGTTGTTTAAAAAATAAATAAATAAATAAACAAACAAAAAAAGAGATAAAATACTTCAAAGGGATAGTTCACCTTCCGTTGCCGATCCCCACTGACTGCCATAGAAAGAAAAAAAAAAAACACTATTCAAGTCAATGGGGACAAGTCAATGGGGACCAACTGAAGGTGATTTATCCCTTAAAGCTATATTGTCCTGCCCTAATTTCAGGAAAATCAGTTATGGTGCACTGAAAGTGTTTCAGCATTCTTACCCTCAAAGCTCTTGAAGGACTCAAAGAGCTCTGTTAGCGCCTGGGTGGAGAGCTGCTCGTGGTACTTGGAGGCCACCTGGACGCAGATCTGGAGGTTCTGCCTGATGTTAGCAGAAAGCATGGCTCTCAGACACTCCAGAGAGTCCTCCACCGACAGAGCGCCGAAGAAGTTCACCAGCCACTGCAACCAGAGCACAACATATTACTACATCAATCAGAGCAAAAGCACCAAAATACTGATGGCCATGAACACAACTATCAACATTTAAGAGTCTTGTTCCATTCAAATAAATGCAAATGAATGATACAGTAACATTGAGTGCAAAAGTTTAAGCAAATTGTGGGACATACCTCTGGATTGAGCAGATGGGTGTGGACCACGGCCCGTTTGATGTCATACAGGTCAGTGTAGTGCTCCAGAGCTCTCTGTAGAAGACCAGCCTTCTCACACAGCTGAGCCACATGGGCCCGGTCGTAGTGAGTGAACATCTGGTTCCCCAGGATGGCATCTGCCACCTGAATATGGCAAAAAAAAGACCATGTTATGATACAAAACTTTGCAAAATAGGAAAGAAAGGGAGGTGCGTGGTGCTGATGTTTGTAGTGAGCACCTGTGGGGCGTGCATCAAGTTCATCTCCAACAGACGAGTCTGCAAAGGACCTTCAGTGGGGCGGTTGTTCTTCAGGGCATCCAACAGGAAAGAAGTGCACTGCTGGATCAGGTTATACTCCATAAACACATCCACAATCTGTAGAATAAGCAAAAAACATTAGCAAATTCATTTGTTGTTAAAAGTTCACCTACTTTATCATCAGAAATGCTTTCATCCAGTCCAAATTTGTATCAAATAAAAATAAATACAAGATATACAACTGAGGAAATACAAAACGCTATTAGACCTGAGTGATGTCAGCCAGAGGTTCCTCATCCTGAACGAGCATTTGGGAGAACTGCAGGCCTTGTTCTGGACTGATCCGCATGACGTTCCTCAACAGGAAGATCCAGTCTGGAGTGTAGCCAACCTGCACACAGATGGCCATGCATTAGAGGATGGAGCTTAAATATTAAATCTCTCACACAAATAGAGCAGTTTACAGAGCAGTGTGAAATTTAGTGCCAGGTAGGGATATCAAATTTTCATGTTGCGATTAATTGCTAATGCTTTTATCACAGTATACGGTATTATCATGATATAGAAATTTAGTTGCAAAAAAGCGTTGTCATAATCCAGTATAACAGGTTTAATAACTTTTTTCTTATAACAAAAAAGAATTGAACATTTAAATACAATAAAGCAATACTGCTGTCGGAGAGTGAATGTGCGCTTTCATCCAGAGCGTCTCTCATGCGCTCCACCATGCGCTTCTCATCCGTGCTTGTTTACATCAGAGAGCGCATCAGTCTTTAACGCAGCATACAGCAGTGTTGTGCACTGTGACCAGTTGGTGGGAAAAGTATTCTTAAAATGCATTCAAAATTCCGAATAATTTGTAATAAATAATTATCATGGTATTTTGAAGTGCCCACGATAACAATATCGTGCATATTCATTATCGTGATATCTCGCATTACCGAATACCAGCAAATGTTTAGTGCAAGGAAACGCATTTAAACTCACCTTTTTCGCATACAGTACAATTTTCTGGAACTGGCCGGTCTCTGCGAAACACTGGATCACTTTGTTGGGAACGTTGGCCCTTAGATAAACACTAAGTGCAAGAGTTGGATCCACAGACTTCACCAGATCACCCAACTCTTCAGAACACTCCAGCTGCAGGAACCAAAAACAGACAGTTTTCATTATGTAACAATATTAAATAACAAAAACTGCATTAGTCGGAAAGATATAAGGGGTTCCACACTTTGACAAATTCATTTCTATGACCTTTCCAGTTGTTCGTGATAAAATAATACGATTTTAAAAATCATTTTGATTAAGACTGATTAGCTAGTGAATCAGCCTATGTGATTCGTTAAAGTGATAGTCCACCACCAAAAATTTTAATTATCAGAATTTACACACCCTCATATTGTTCCAATCCAAACCTTTATGATTTAAACCGTTTCAGGTACTGCTGATTTCCATTATATTTTTATCCATAAAACTGAAGTCAACAGGAATCAAAACTGTTTAGCTACTAACGTTCTTAAAAATATCTTATTTTACGTCCCGCAGAAGAAATAAGTCATACAGGTTTGGAAGAACATGAGGGTGAGTAAATTACACAATTTTCATTTTTGGGTGAACTAACCCCTAAAAAAAAACAAATGAAAAGGCATCACTTTTACTCTAAAACATTTAAATATCCAACAGATGAAATATTTTACTGCACAGCATAGCTAGAAAATGTAAATTCTTCAAAGCAATTTCCACGGCTTTTCCATAATTTTAGTAATTTCTAGATATGCATCGATCAACCGGCCAGGGACCAGAATTAGCCGATTTTCCGCATGATCGGCCTGGACCGGCGACCAGCCGTTCCATTTTGATGTCACACTTACGCTCACATCTGCATGTCATCGGCATGGAAGTTCTTCTGTGAGTGAATTTCATGTTGCGATTAATTGCTAATGCTTTTATCACAGTATACGGTATTATCATGATATAGAAATTTAGTTGCAAAAAAGCGTTGTCATAATCCAGTATAACAGGTTTAATAACTTTTTTCTTATAACAAAAAAGAATTGAACATTTAAATACAATAAAGCAATACTGCTGTCGGAGAGTGAATGTGCGCTTTCATCCAGAGCGTCTCTCATGCGCTCCACCATGCGCTTCTCATCCGTGCTTGTTTACATCAGAGAGCGCATCAGTCTTTAACGCAGCATACAGCAGTGTTGTGCACTGTGACCAGTTGGTGGGAAAAGTATTCTTAAAATGCATTCAAAATTCCGAATAATTTGTAATAAATAATTATCATGGTATTTTGAAGTGCCCACGATAACAATATCGTGCATATTCATTATCGTGATATCTCGCATTACCGAATACCAGCAAATGTTTAGTGCAAGGAAACGCATTTAAACTCACCTTTTTCGCATACAGTACAATTTTCTGGAACTGGCCGGTCTCTGCGAAACACTGGATCACTTTGTTGGGAACGTTGGCCCTTAGATAAACACTAAGTGCAAGAGTTGGATCCACAGACTTCACCAGATCACCCAACTCTTCAGAACACTCCAGCTGCAGGAACCAAAAACAGACAGTTTTCATTATGTAACAATATTAAATAACAAAAACTGCATTAGTCGGAAAGATATAAGGGGTTCCACATGGGGTTCTATGACCTTTCCAGTTGTTCGTGATAAAATAATACGATTTTAAAAATCATTTTGATTAAGACTGATTAGCTAGTGAATCAGCCTATGTGATTCGTTAAAGTGATAGTCCACCACCAAAAATTTTAATTATCAGAATTTACACACCCTCATATTGTTCCAATCCAAACCTTTATGATTTAAACCGTTTCAGGTACTGCTGATTTCCATTATATTTTTATCCATAAAACTGAAGTCAACAGGAATCAAAACTGTTTAGCTACTAACGTTCTTAAAAATATCTTATTTTACGTCCCGCAGAAGAAATAAGTCATACAGGTTTGGAAGAACATGAGGGTGAGTAAATTACACAATTTTCATTTTTGGGTGAACTAACCCCTAAAAAAAAACAAATGAAAAGGCATCACTTTTACTCTAAAACATTTAAATATCCAACAGATGAAATATTTTACTGCACAGCATAGCTAGAAAATGTAAATTCTTCAAAGCAATTTCCACGGCTTTTCCATAATTTTAGTAATTTCTAGATATGCATCGATCAACCGGCCAGGGACCAGAATTAGCCGATTTTCCGCATGATCGGCCTGGACCGGCGACCAGCCGTTCCATTTTGATGTCACACTTACGCTCACATCTGCATGTCATCGGCATGGAAGTTCTTCTGTGAGTGAAGAAGACACAAAGTTTGCAATTTGTAATATGTGTAGAGCCCAAGTAAACTGTGGAGGAACCACAGGGCTCGATTAACGCTTGTTTGGGACAAGCAGATTTTTTAAAGGGGCAAGTGAGAGAGAATTTTACTTGCCCGACCGGACAAGAAGTCTGATTAAAACGTCAATAAGAAAAATAACTAGGGAAGCACTGAAGCTTGGCCACCAAAAATTTTCACGAGAACGTTTCAGATTTTATTGCATTCCGTGTAAATGGTGAATGATGATGTATTTTTTTAACAAATCGAGTAAGTTAATGATTCGGTAACCTATTCAATAAAGACAGTCACTTGCCTCGTTTCTGAATGAATCAGCCGTTTGAACGAATCAGTTGAATGAATGACTAAATGTCTCATTCATTAAAACAAATTTTTATTTGTATATGCTGTCAATTACAGTTCTTCAAAGAAAACCAGAATCGGCAAAAATCAGTATCAGCAGGTCACACTTTTTTAAAAAAATCAGAAATCCGAATCTGCCAGGAAAATTGCAATCTGTGCATCTCAATTAATTTCCATTTTTTTGTCCATACTTGAAAAACACAATATTATAATGCTCTGATATTTCCTAGTTTCCATGGCTTTACAAAACCTAGAGCATGTCCATTTTATTTCATACTATTATTGGTTATTTTCCATTATCATTACTAGCAGTTTTTTATTTCTATCTATCCATCTATCTCTTTTGTTATATTGATGCTTTGTTATTTGCCAATTGCCAATAAAGTAATTTGAATTTAATACAACTTTGGGTCACATATTTATTCAGAAGAGGATATACCTTGTCTTCCTTTAGCCATTTCTCCAGGAGCTGTTTGCGGCCTTGCTGCAGGACGGGCCTGCAAAGCTCCAATGACTCAAACTTGTTCAGCTGGCCCTGATCCAGCAGAATCCCAAAGTACTGCAGCAGGGGAGACGTCTGACCGGGCTGGGCAGGAACACTCTGGAACCGACGGATGGTGTCTGACGTGCGCAGGATGCCCTGCAAGAAGCCAACAGCCAATCAGAAACCCCAACATTTGCCTGACAATGACTAATGAGGTGTCAGGTCGTGTGATGCAGTCTGCTGTACCTTTGGTGCATTGGCAGCCACTTTGGCAGCTTCAGAGTAGTTGCCACCAGCAAATAGGTTGTTGAATTTGCGGGCGAAGAGCTCCTCTGCACCTGCCAAGTTGTTGCGGACGGCCATCCTGAGGGCCAGATCAGGGTTCTGCAGCACGTTAGTTATGTAAGGGATGATGTTTTCTTCCTCCACACACACAGAAAGCACCTGAGAAACAATGATAGTGTCAGACACAGAATGTAGACACTGACAGCATAATTCACACTACACATTAAACAGAATGACACTTTGGGATCCATAATTTCTTTTTAAAATAAATAACTGCTTTCTATTTTAATGTCATTTATTCCCATGATGCTAAGCTGAATTTTTAGCATCATTACACCAGTCTTCAGTGTCACAAGATCATTCAGAAATCTGATTTCGTGTTCAAGAAATATTTATTATTATCAATGTTAAATACAGTTGTACTGTTATGTGTGATACTGTTTTTCATTAATGAAATATACATTAGAGCCCGACCGATATGGGTTTTTTGGGGGCCGATGCCGATACCGATATTAGAGAGTAAAAAAGGACCGATATCGATATATCGGCCGATATTCTTTATGTGTATGCTATATTATAGTACAGTATAGTCAAGGTTTGGACACACTTCCCATTCGTGTGCCCAAACTTTTGACTGGTACTGTATATAGAATACAGTATATAGCCTACATAAACAGAATATATATACATAAACAAATTTTTTGCAATGACAACAAATAAATGTGGTGATCAAACACTTATAATGATGTGCCAAACATAGGCCTATGTAGTGGAGGCAGGGTATTTAACAATTTAACAATACACCTTATTATTCAAAATGAGTCAGACATCAGTGCACTTAACAGTAAACTTCACTTCACTTATTATAAATGACTTAAATAACACAAATAGAACAAAATATATATAACTTGAATTAAGTTATTGAATTAAACAAGGTAACTGTGTAGGGCAAGCAAGCTACTGCCAAACCAACAGGGGCAGGTTTATGCAGGAAGCACAGCTTTTCCAAATGTAAACATCCAAAACGAATAAATAATAATAATAATGAATATTTTTTTCACAAATTCTGTGTAGTGTATTTTCTGGTAATCAAATGAACATGCAGAACATTCGTATTTAAATAAGTATTTTTGCAGTTTAATATTCACAGACAGTCTATATATATATATATGTACTGACCTGTTTTTGATTTATTCATCAAAAATAAGACAAATTCCATGAAATTCCGCGCTATACAGTAAATTCCGTTTTTATACAGTAAATTCCGTTTTTTATTCATTCCGCGATTCCGTCCATGTTTTCTGCATCGCGGAAATCATAGGGCCCTACTAATGTAGCAAACGAATATGATAAGCTCATTGTGAGAGTAAAAGATGGGGACATTGTTGTTTATTTACTTAACACTGAGTCTTTCCAACTAGGTGACAACGTAGCGTTAAATCACCATTCAACAGACTCAAGCCACCACCGCACTGCCGTCTATTGTACTGCAGAAAGATACTAACTTTTCAATCTGCTACGTTACTGACTGTACTGACAAACTGTGCTGACACCGTGTCTGCACTGCAACAGAACGCGACAAAGTGACCACTGAAAATCATTTGAACTTTGTGTCAGCACGTCATAAATAGAACGGGGCATCAGTTTACTGCATGCAGTGTAGACAACATCACTGATTATAATGGGTTCTATTCTACACCGGACGCGAGTGGCATGGCGTGACAAAATACAATAGAAATTATATTGTATTTTGTCGCACCGCGCGATGTGACCGATGTGATAAGCATGAGTTCTGGGCAACGGCGCGGCCGGTATAAACACCAGCATTGACTAAGTGGCAGCGATTAGCTCTGGTGGCTGTAACGCTGGCTTTAATGCACCACAGATGCGTGCCGTGATCCGCAGATCAGCTCTAGTCTCTAACGTCACTGAATCTGCTGTTAAAAAATTAACCATACATTCATCATGCAAAACTAAGAATTAGAATCATTGTAATGTGACGATCAAATATAGGTGCGGGTGGGTGGCGGCCGGATAATTTGAAGCAGCGGACTTGGGTGAAGTTTGAGCTAATCCGCGCATCTCTACACTACACTGACCTGGGTCGCCAGTAGCAAACAATAGAATGTGCCCTGCTTGACAAACTAAGTAATTACACCATTCAGAAGCATTTAATCTGCGTTATATGTTCTGTAAAAAAAAATTCATATCAGCGGCATATTCGCCGATACCGATATATCTGCGACAGGCTCATTTCAGCCGATAATATCGGCAAAACTATATATCGGTTGGGCTCTAATATATATACATATATATTAGTACTGTCAAATGATTAATCGCATCCAAAATAAAAGTTTGTGTTTACAGAATATTTGTGTGTACTGTGAATATTTTTTATGTATATATAAATACACATACAGTACATATTTTGAAAATATTTACATGCATATATTTATATTCATATAATTTATATTATATAAATGATTTTAGCAAATGGCTGCAATATAACAAAGAGTGAAAAATTTAATAGGGTCTGAATACTTTCCGTACCCCCTGTATATATATATATATATATATTTATTTATTTATATTTTCCCCCCTCCAGAATTTATACTTGATACAAATATATACCTGAAAATTTCAAGAACTGTTTGTTTAATTTGTTTTTTTTTCAGTTTTTTTAGCGATAAAGGGAAAAACTTCAAAACTTAAACTTCATTTAATTTTTTGAATATTAAATTTACTTATGAAAGACTGTTCAACATTTTAGTTGCTAGTGGTGTAAAAACTCAAATTTCACAGGTATTTATACCAACTACTGAAATCGTGGCAGCACAACCCTAGTTGCCCATGTTTAATATTCTGTCAGGCTTCACCAGTCCCATAACATATAAGCCAACTCTGATCTCCCTTTCTGTTTATTATGCATCTTTTTAGCATCAGTAATGCTTGTTGTGAAGTTTGTTTGTCTTTCTCAAATAAACTAATCTCTGTGTGCCAACCCATAATCTGTTCCATTACCACATTAGTGCTAAATCTGGCTAATCTCTATTCATGAGCACCTAATAATGCACTGATTGGCTCCAAATGATGCTGATCTGGACCCATGAAGCATCTAAAGCGACCCTCAGGGTAAATACATAAATGAATGGGCCGGTATCCCATTATATACTTAAAGTCTGCAGCACGGCCTGTGACAGAGCTGGTCATCAGTCAGCGACTGAAGCAGAGCAAACACACCGCAGACTACAGTAAGAGGATTACAGCGGCCGTCTCTTCCTCCTACTGAGCAGCACACGCTGTTCTCACTATACGTGACGATGGATCAACAAACGCTGTTATTTACAGGGATTCCTTCAGCTACAGCATCCTAATGTATTATGGACCACAGGCACACAAAGATGGAGTTAGAATAAAACAAAACTTATATTTACCATTTTCATTATATTCAACAATATAATACATATAAAGCATCACCTACATTTACCTATATTTTTACATTACCTACCTTTAATTTCATTTAAAAATATATAAAATATAGTAATATGAAATGACCTGCAATGAGCAATTTTGAATCGATTCATGGAAATGATTCAAACTTATCAACTCTAACACATACTTCAGTTTGAAATAGAAATATTATTAAACCACTGCTTAACTTATGAATCATGAGAAAAAATATTGTTTATTTGATTATTAATGTCATGCCCGCTTCTTTGGTTATTTTCCTGGCAAAAACCTATTTCAAACCTATTTTTTCAGATAGATAGATACAGTGCACAGCATAAATGAGTACACCCCCTGTGATTAAATATAAAAGATGTATTTTCTTAATGATCACTAATATAATTCATAGAAAGATGGCAAAATTGAAATGTATTAAACATTCTTAATAAAAACAGAGAAATACATGCCATTAATATCTGTAAAATAAGAAACTTAGTTTTTTGTTTAAATGAAGGATTGCAAAATTAAGTACAACCTAGATTTAATTCAACCAAGTGTAATATTCTAGAACTTAATATGTCCTCCATAACTCTAAGTACACTGCTCTGACACTTCTTGGCACTGAGTGTACAAGTTCATGACAAATTTTCACATCTGTGCCGTTTAACTCTTGGAGGACGACCTCCTTAAATGCTCTGGTCTTTAATGGGGAGTTTTACTCAGCTCGTCTCTACAGAATCTCTCACAGCAGCTCAAGAGTGTTAAGATTGAGTGAAATACATGTCCACTGAAGGATTTTCAACTCAGGAGAATTAATATCTTCATTGTCATGTTTAAAAAAAATGCACAACAATGCAGGGAATGAGAAGAGGGTAGTATCTTCAGTTTCAGGTTTTTGTGTTACATCACACAGTGGTGTGTGAATTCATGACAGCGTTGATAAAGCACAACTCCCTCACACCTTCAGCACTCATACATCCCTATATAAAAGCTTTACTACCACTGAACGTCACTGTGGGAACCAGGCACTTCTCTCTGTACTCCTCCTCTAGCAACACCAGAACATGTTGGATGCTGTTAGATCTGAAATGATTGAATTGATCTCATGAGACCAGAGTATGGATTCCCAGAAGTCTATATTTTGTAAATATGGGCTTTGGAAAAAGCTAAATGAGTTTATTGTGCTTTGGCTACAGTCGGTAGTTCTGGTGTGGATAAACAACCATGCATGTCACTTCTGCATGCTGCATCTTACTCTGTGAGATAAAGCGTCACTTTTTTCACAGTGTTTCTCCTGCTCTTTTTCTAGCAAAAACTCACTCATCACTAAATGAAAGCTTAAAGTGAAGACCTGATTATTTCAGGGGCCTTTTCACAAGTCCATCGTTTTTGAATTTCTGTGTTACTTTGGCTATATTTTCACACTTAAAACAATAATTTGGTTGTACTATTGTCCTCTTTTATGCCAAGAAATAAATCTCTTGACAGTTCTCTCTCAAGTGGTTTCATTGTTGTCAGCATTAAGTCGGAGTATGATTCAGTGGGCCATACAACACTTAATTATCAAGAAATGACTTACCTTTAACAGTTTTGGTTCAACATACTTACCTGTTGATCAATACTTGCCTTAACCTTACACCAGAATTTATTTATTTTTTTTAGTAACTTTCAGGAAGGTGTACTTATTTTTGCATCACAACATTTTATCACTTTGATAAGAAAATTGTATTTTCTTGAATAATTTTAACATTCTTCTTTGGTAACTGATCAAGCAGACTTGCTGGAATATTATATCGCTAAAAAACCATAACATGTCTTCTAAGCAAAGAGTAATTGCTGAATTTGTTAAGTTTCAGAGGGGGTGTACTCATTTATGCTGTGCACTGTAGATAGATAATGACATGATCTTCAGGAAACACATTGAAAATTGTGTTGCTTCATTTTATATTGCCAGCTAAATCAAAACAAATACATTGTGAACATTCAATATATCATCCCACCATAGTGTGGACTGACAGTTTTGTGGTTTGATTTTGTGGTTTCTTTAATAAGGAGGGGGAAAACAAATGGGAGAGTAACAATGAGCAGGGATCACATTTCTGTGCTCTCTCTGCATATTTAATGACTCTTGGGTCTAAGCTCCAAAATAATTAATCAACTGATGGCATCCTGTTACAGTAGACTTGAGTAGTTGCACAGACTAACTATACGGAAACAAACCCCTGGTGTCTGTCTGGAACTAGCTCAGCTGCTCCAACAAGCGAAAACAAAGCCAATGCACCACTTTCTTCTTTCTGTCTGCAATAACAGCAGGTAAAGCAGTCGGTACCTGTCCCTTCCGGTTCACGCCAATAATGCCAGATGTGGCTTCATGAGAAGCGGTGACAAAAATGGTCTCTCCACTGATCCTGTTCATGTAGATGCAGGTGCCCATCTCAAGGTCATACAGGTGGATGTAGCCATATTTGGTGATGAGAAAAACAACATCATGCTTGGCGCTTATCTAGAAGAAGACAAGAAAGGAGTGTGTCTTCTACATAAACCTAACGCTTCAACAGACACATTTTTATAATATTCATTAAATATTCCAAACTACGAATACCTGCATTGCAACCGGAAAATCGTTCTGGGCCTCTGGTGGGAAAAACACGTCGACTGCTTTCTTTGGAAAGGGTTGATTACCTGACGGAGGTGTTCCAACCTCAATAATGTGCAACTACAGTGGGGACAAAAATACACGAGTGACATTAAATGTACAACCGTTTCGATGCAAAGACATAATTACTATTTATTTCCACACGGACGTTCATTTAAAAAAAATAACTAGACCTTTCCTCCAGCTTGTCCCCGAACAGCAAAGCAGAAAAGTGTGGATTCCTCAGCATTTCCCTCCATTTTAAACTGAGCAAATCCAGCAGCATGGCCTTCGATCGGCTGCGACACCTTTCTGTCCACTGAGTAAAGTTGCAAGTGTCCAAATTTTTTTGGGGGTTACCTTATATTTTCTTTAATTTCTGTTAACCCCTGTTAGTAACTGATTAAAAAAAAAAAAAACATCTGGCCTTACATGTAACAATGTTATGAGGGGGAAACACCTAACAATTCTGAATATTACTAACAAATGCATATATTATTGAAACTCAAGGCTTAAAAAAATACATTTCTGCACTCAGTATACAATTCCAAGTTTGGGGTCAGTAAAAATGTTTTATGTTTTTCCAAAGATGTTTCTTACGCTTATCAATGCTGCATTTATTTATTTAAAATACAGTAAAAAAATTTAAAATATTATACCAATTTAAAATAGCTGTTTTCTATTGTAATGTATTTTGAAATGTAATTTATTCCTGTGATGCAAAGCTGAATTTTCAGCATCATTACTCCAGTCTTCAGTATCACATGATCCTTCAGAAATCATTCTAATAGATTTGCTGCTCAAGAAACATGTCTTATTAGCATCAATGTTGAAAACAGTTGTACTGCTTAAATGTGTATTTTTCAGGTTTCTTTGATAAATATAAAGTTGAAAAACAAACAGCATTTTGTAAAATTATAAATGTCTCTGTTGTGACTTTTAGCTAATTTAATGCATCCTTAATGAATCAAAGTATTGTTTATATATATATATAAATCTTACTGACCCCAAACTTTTGAATGCTCATTTCTAAAATCACTATAATCATATACAAATCATTACTGCAAATAAGACAATATTCAGTTTATCTCACTACTTTCAAGGTCATAATTCACCTTCTCATTCTTACAGTTGAGTTGCAGAGTGAAATATATCTAGAAAGTTGCCTTGCAAATCTATCAGTTTACAATCATATTACACCTTTGCATTGCATTAACAGTAGGCCTGGGCGATAAAACGGTACCAGTATTTATCGACGGTACATCTTCTTCGATAACGATATAAAAAATGTTCGATATAGTGCACGATATAAGCACGTGCTATGAGTGACGCAGACAGTACACACAAAAAAGGAACATGCTGAATTGAGTGCTGTGCCTGCGATGAGGAGATTGTGGATAAAAAAAATTATATTAGTCGAATTTAAAATAAACATTTGCATTTGAATGTTAGGAGTGGGTCAGGGAGCGCGTCAGGGAGCGTCATCAGTGGAGCACGAGATGCAGTGATGATGATGATGTGAGTGACATTGTTGCATTTTAATGTTTTGTTAGTCTAGCCCACGAGATGCGCCGCTGCTGTGTTATGCATTCAAAATATTAGAGAAATATAGAAGCTCAATGCGGAGAAGATCTTGATTAGGTGAAAACCGTAACCAAGCCATTCACACAGAACGCATATTCAGCACATTTTTAGACAGACAAATATGACTGCTGCACTCGCGTCTCACACAAGAGATGTAGCCATGCAAAGTTAAAACAGTTTAAACTTTTAGAAAACACGTTGCAAATTTGTGGAGGTTTATTCCTTTTCACTGCGTCTCTTATGTTTTTAAATGCAATCTGCGTGATGGGCGATTCGGCTCTTTGTATTAAGCAATGCATAAATACAATGCTGTTTTGTTCATAATTGTTTATGCAATTTACAAAATTATATTTGATTATATGAGTTAATTTAGACATAATGCAGGTTTTTATAGACATTTATTTCCTTGCTTTGACAATTTAAATGTGCTGCACTTATTTTGCGCCCTCCAGTGGGCTCAGGAGACAAGCCAAAAGTTTCCTTAAAACCCATTTAATCTGCATATAAAACATTAGAAATTAGATATTTGTTTAATTTTTATTGTGTGTTTGACTTTAAAAAAATAAAAATTTGTTGTTTGTCCCAATAAATTGGGTTAATTTAAAAATACAGTGGTTAAATTTTAAAAAAAATTCTGTTGCTCTTCGTTTTAAAAAAGGTTATAAAAAATGTCAATAATTATCGATACCGAACGATATGAAACATTATATCGTTGATGCATTTTTTTTAGCTATATCGCCCAGCCCTAATTAACAGTATACTGCCAAGTGCCAAACCAAAAAAAAATTTATAAAGGAGCTGAATATTGTTGTTTTGTCTAACAACAACAAAATGTATTTAATTTTACACTAAACAAGAAAAATAAAACAGGCTGTTGTCATGTTACATGCACATTACACAATCCCAGCCCCCTCCTTACATGGCTAACCTATCATTCAACAAAGGCATTCAGATTGACCCCACATTTCACAATTCAAAATCCCACAACTCAGGATAGATGAAATTGAACTCACCGTCTGCAAACATAAGAAAGCAGTAAGAAACAAAAAATAAAAAAGAACAAAAACAAGCAAGAACAGACAAAGCATTTATGACGGCAAGACATTTCCAATGAGCATTTTAAAAGCTATTCTTAACCAAAAAATTACAGCAAGAGGCTTTAATACGTAACGAGACAGAGATGGCTGGGAATATGAACAAACTTGTAGGAATTATGAAGGGTATTTTAGAATAATTATGTCATTTGACATCACAAAAGTCATACACTGTTACACTAAACTGTCTCGATGGAAACACAGTCAGCTAAAGATATTGTAGTCATGTTATATATTGAGGGGGTGGGAGGGGGTTGCAGGAACACTCAAACTCATGGAAGTTTCTATATTCATGCCAAACATTATCTTTACATTTCAAAAATCCATGCCTTAATGTGTCCCCCCACTTTTCAAATGTCTTTAATGTCCCTGTGTCTTACCTTTAAGAGCAATGACTTTGCTGGCTGGGTTCATGATGGCACTGTCTGCAGAGATGGGCCTGCGGATGGGCGTATTTGGATCGCTCATGTCGATGATCACCACCTGGGCCTGTTCGCCCACCTTCTCCCGGATGCAGATGAACTTATCCGACTCCATCGTGAGGGTGCTAAACCCAATGTTCGCTGGGTTTATGCCCAGGTTTTGGAGCTGTAAGAGGTGGACAGGCATTATTTACCATTGTTAGATACAGAACTAGTATTTTTTTATTTCGGCATCAAAATGTTGTCTAGCTTGGCTTTATTTTTTAATACACTGCCTGGAGGTCATAAATGTGTCTGCTGCAAGTCTATTTCAATATTTATGGGACGTTTTGAAATAAAAAATAGGGATCTATGGTCACAATCTCACAAGCCCCATCATCCTCCCCCACTGTGATGCACCTGTGCAATGACACAATACACTGTTATGACTCTAGTCAGGCCGGTTCATTACATTAATGCTCCAGCAACTGGAATTTAAGTCATGAAAACAACAAATATCCATGAATTAGCATTAAAATCTTATTTATCCATCTATGTATCACACATTAATGTTGATAAACACCATCTATACATATATACACTATCCTAAATGTTAGATTATTTAAAGGGACAGTTCACTAAAAATGTTAGGCAGAGTGGCAGCATCAGTCAGCATTGACTGATTAACAATATCAAATAATTGATTTTACTCCATCTTTATTTTGATGAATCGATGTTTATTCTCAAGTTCCAAAATCAATCATTTAGTCTGTTTTCATTTGATGCGTTTTCAAAACAATAAGCTTTGTGCTTTATTTTCGATATTAAAGTCTCAGCTCAAATTCTGTCCATTTTATCATGAAATTCAAGTACTAAATGTCATTTTGATGCCCTTTAATGTGGCAACACAGCGTGCATCTCTTCCTCTTTACTACTAGTTATAGCATGAAAAAACATGAATGAACATCAGAAGGTATGTTGAAAGAAACAGTACCATAATTCGTTTCACGTCTCATCGCTTAGTGTTTCAACCGTGAAAAGACATCAATAAAACAGCTTGTAAACAATGTCAAATAACATTTACCTCAGGAAAGCCATTTAATGTCCATAGCATGTTTGTTAGACAGAAAAACTAACTCTACAGAGGAGCATTCTCCTAAATACAGTATATGCACCATATTACATAGTCATTATATTTTTACTTAACCTGTTAGTGATGTCTCATTTAATATAAGTTTGAAAAAAATCAATCACATCAGGTATGTAAGCTTGATAAAGCTAGTTTAATCCTTCCCCGATCGCTGCATCCACCTGCATAGGCTGTGTCCAAAAACCTAGTGACCTGCCAACCCAGACTGCATATTTCCAGCCTCATAAGCTCGTTCGATTCGAACAGCTAGTATTTTCCGTCTAAACGGCGGTTTCGAACTTTTAAATTCGAACATCCATCAGTTTTTTTTTTTAACTCCACACGCATTCAATTCGCCCGTTCGAAGATGCTGAGTTTTTGATACACAGCCATTGAAATGGATGGGAGGTCATTCATTGAGCTAGCGCTAAAGCTAACTAACACTGCCACCTCTGTAACAGCACAGCCAACGATTGTTAATGCCGTGAACGAGTCTCGTATGGTTTAGCCGTAGTAAAAGTTTTCATTTGATGCGTTTTCAAAACAATAAGCTTTGTGCTTTATTTTCGATATTAAAGTCTCAGCTCAAATTCTGTCCATTTTATCATGAAATTCAAGTACTAAATGTCATTTTGATGCCCTTTAATGTGGCAACACAGCGTGCATCTCTTCCTCTTTACTACTAGTTATAGCATGAAAAAATATGAATGAACATCAGAAGGTATGTTGAAAGAAACAGTACCATAATTCGTTTCACGTCTCATCGCTTAGTGTTTCAACCGTGAAAAGACATCAATAAAACAGCTTGTAAACAATGTCAAATAACATTTACCTCAGGAAAGCCATTTAATGTCCATAGCATGTTTGTTAGACAGAAAAACTAACTCTACAGAGGAGCATTCTCCTAAATACAGTATATGCACCATATTACATAGTCATTATATTTTTACTTAACCTGTTAGTGATGTCTCATTTAATATAAGTTTGAAAAAAATCAATCACATCAGGTATGTAAGCTTGATAAAGCTAGTTTAATCCTTCCCCGATCGCTGCATCCACCTGCATAGGCTGTGTCCAAAAACCTAGTGACCTGCCAACCCAGACTGCATATTTCCAGCCTCATAAGCTCGTTCGATTCGAACAGCTAGTATTTTCCGTCTAAACGGCGGTTTCGAACTTTTAAATTCGAACATCCATCAGTTTTTTTTTTTAACTCCACACGCATTCAATTCGCCCGTTCGAAGATGCTGAGTTTTTGATACACAGCCATTGAAATGGATGGGAGGTCATTCATTGAGCTAGCGCTAAAGCTAACTAACACTGCCACCTCTGTAACAGCACAGCCAACGATTGTTAATGCCGTGAACGAGTCTCGTATGGTTTAGCCGTAGTAAAAACCCACCTGCAGGTGCTCCTGGAAGCGGATAGGCAGGATTTGAGCCATGGTTTGGGCTTTCTGTTCTCAATCCTCCCGGCCGGACTCCTCGCAAAATTTCTGCCTAGCTTTAGCGAGCGACGACCTCCTCTCCGCGGACACCCCCGATTCAAAACAGATCAAATGCAGGACTGCTGGCTTTATTAGACAGAGAATGCAAGTGTCGCGTTTTCGTCGTGTCAAGCCAATCCGCCAGATGGTTATTGTTTTTTCTCCCCTCTCAGCACGGATGGGAATCGCTCAGACGCGCAATGGCGGCGGAAACAGCTCAGTCTGACAATCCGGAAGCAGCAGCGCGGATTTTGCGGCGGAAGGACATTCGCGATTTCAGCGATTTTGTTAATCAAGCAGGCGATGCTACTGCCACCTGCTAGTATGGAGTTATTTCTTCTCATGCAGGAACAGAACGTATGTTTAAGTTTGCTATTGGCCATAATCTTTGTGGTGTGTTCAAGTGCAAATTTTTGTCCCAGGCGAAGCAAGGCGACAACACAGCCAGCTTTCGTCAGTGCTAATTCTTTGATGTCAGCTTGGTGTGTCTCGGGATAATTCACCCAAAAATGAAAATTGTCATCATTTACTCGCCCACAAGTTGGGACAAACCTGTATAAGTTTCTTTCTTCTGTTGAACACAAAAGAAGATATTTAAAAAATGGTTGGTAACTAACCAAACAGTAGACGGTAGCCATTGACTTCCACAGTATGGGGAAAAAAAATACTATGGAAGTCAATGGCTACCATATACGCTGTTTGGTAACAACATTCTTCAAAATATCGTGTTCAACAGAAAGTGAAAGACTCAGTGACTCATCACCTCCTATTGGTAACCTGTGGAAAGAGCCACTGAACTAATCTTAACAAATCTTATTAGCGAGTCGAAGATTTAAGTCATTGGGATAAATGAAAACTTCCCCTCAAATGCACTGGATGCGGAACTGTTTTGTTTCATGTTTTGTCCACACTTTAAACATATTTAAAAAAGAACACTCTGTATCAAAAGTTTTTAAAAAAACAATTTATTTACATAAAAGATTTAAAATGTTTATTACATGTTATGACTCAAAAGCCATATTCAAAATCCACAGGGACCAGAGTGCTGTGGCAGTAAACGCGGATTATGTTCTGAAATCTGAGATTATAAAATCTTTCATATTTGTATTCAGCAGCTGCAGTATCTGTGGTGAATATTTGATCCTCTCATGTGCCCTTTCTTTGCAGCCGATGCTGTTTTCGCTCCAAATAGCGAGTGCGAGCCTCTGTCTTTGATCTTTCATCGTTTCGCTTTTCCATCTTCTTTGCCTCATCCTCTGTGACTTCTGTTTAAAAACCAAAAAATGTGTTACAAAAATATGACACAATTTAACTACATCAAAATGCTCAGCCTCTTCAAACACACCTGCTTGTCTTTTTGCTGCCTCTTTCTCCTCCCACTGCGCCATCTCTTCATCAGTTACCTCTTCCCTAGTGACATTACTCAACTCATAGACATCGATTTCATGCAGCTTCGGCAACAGGTCCTTTACCCACTCGTAACGGATGGGACAAACTGTTCTCAAGTACACCCGTGAGGTGACCAACACGTCATGGAAGATGATCCAATCCAGATGCAATTCTTGACCAAAGAGCTGAATAAAAGAAGTTAAAGCAAGTGTTTAGTTAAAACTATTATACAACACAGGCTTAAAAATGACATGAATGTGAGTAAATAATGACAAAAAAATCTAATTTTTAATTAATTCCTTGCACATGATGAGGGGTGAATAAGAACACGGGACCCATGTCCATCCATGGTGCAGAATGATTTCCCAATAGCTCTAAGGAAAACAGAACAGCTTTAATACTGGCTTTAATAAATACTTATTATGTAATAAAATGACAGTGTGGCACTCACCTCCTGGCTACATTGGTGAAATAACCCAAGCAAAGGCACTGCCGCAGCAGTTCACTCCGACTGCCCTCAAACGTCTCATGTGGAAAGTCTTTCTGCTACATAAACAGTCAAGAACAAGTCGTAAGAATTCACAAAATAATAGCAAAAGCAAATACTATTATAGAAAAACAATTACCGGCTTCAGGTGAAGAAGAATCTCCCTCAGCTGAGACTCAATGCTGAAGGCTGACTTCACTGCTCGCCAGTGGATTTCCATAAAGAGTTCTGGATTTAGTCATTTGGCCAGTCATGGTCTACCTCGCTCTGCACTGCTCAAACACAGAGCAGCATGAGGAAATCACTGGAGCCGCCAGCACAAGCTGCTATCTCTTTATGTCTGATCTCTGCTTCCTTTTGTCCTTCTGGTTTACCTTTAAAATAAAAGGGATGTTGGATTTACCTGATATGTTAGAATAGTATACAGAGAGAGCGAGAGAGTCATTTAAAAAATAGAAATAAGAATAAGACAAATATCCATATTTCAAACGTAATAAACACTTTTCTCTCACTTCCGGTTTTTGTCATACCCCCTGAGCGGTGTGAGGCACATTTTATTATGAATGCGCGAGCTTTATTTGACGACTTGTGGACTGTTCAACTGCAACACCCACTGACTGCAATGATAGAGCTTGGAATAGCCAGGAACATTTTTAATATAACTCCGATTGGATTCGTCTGAAAGAAGAAAGTCATATACACCTAGGATGCCTCGAGGGTGAGTAAAACACAGGCTAATTTTCATTTTTGGGTGAACTAACCCTTTAAGACTTCTCTCTGTTCCTTAGTAAAAGTTTGTCTCAGCAGCTTTGTGAATAGGTTTTAAGAGAAAACTCTTAGCTAAAAACTTTTACTGCTATTTAGGAGAACTCTTAGTGGTAAGATAAAATGTTTTGTGAATACGGGCCCAGTACTACAATATGGAAAAGATGATTTTTTTTTAATATATATTAAATATTTGTATGCATTGTGGTAATATTTGTTGTACTACCGTGAAATTATGCAGACTTTAGTGTCAATAACAACAATATGAAATATGATGATGAAATGAGGATTACAATGTACACTTCCGTTCAAATGTTTGGGTTTAGTAAGATTCTTTTTTAATATTATTTGAAAAAGTGCACTCAAAAAGGCTAAAAAGAAATACTGTAAAGCATTAATATTATGAACAATTTAACTAATAACTAAATGTAATTTATTCCTGTGACAGCTAAGCTGAATTTTTGGCAGCCATTACTCCAATCTTCAGTGTCAAATGATCCTTTAGAAATCTGATATTCTGAATTCTAATATGTTGATTTGCTGCTCAAGAATAATTTCTTATTACTATTATATAAATGTTTTTCTGCTAAACATTTTTTTCAGGGCCTTTATTGTACATAAAGTTCAAAAGAACTAACATTATAAATATACATTTTAACCCATTTTATGCATCCTTGCTGAATCAAAGTATTAATTTCTTTCAAGAACAAATTGTACTAACCCCAGACTTCTGAATGGTAGTGTATTTGATTGAAATTTCTGCATAGAATATTACAAAACTTTTTTTTTAAAGTTAAAAAAAAAATTATAATAATAAAAGCTGTCACTGGGGTGGTACCAATTCGAAAGGTACTAATATATAATATTTAGGTACTAATATGTATCTTTAAGGTACTGATAGGCACACTTTAAGGGTAAAAAAAATGTACAAAAGCATAACTTTAAAAAGGTACTGCCCCAGTTACAGCTTTTGTACTTTTGTTTCTGAGATACAAATGTTGAAGTGTTAAATAAGAGTGTAATCTCGTACCTTTACAGTCATCGAAGCGCACTTGGTATCCCACCTCCTCACCCAGCCAGACCCCCATCTCATGGGACACCCTCTGGGCTACAGTGATGGCTGCAACCCTCCTGGGCTGAGTCACACCAATCCTGCAAAAGCCTGAAGAAAAAAACACAGACATGCTGAAGAAGAGGAATAGATCCAACACACATGCCTGTCAATTCCAGTTCAATGGTCATGTACTTGCATACCTGCTTTATACAAGTACTGAGGCACCTGGCACCAGCTTCACCTGTTACGATCAGGAAGGTGTTTTCCTTCACAACCTGAATGAGTTTGTCTTTGTGCTGATAAATAGGCAGCTTTCTTCATTCATACTTCTCTGTTTCTCTGCTCTTCTCTGATTTTGACATGTCTATGACCATTCATGCGCCATTTATCTACTTCCTAACGTTGCTTAACTTTATATTTCACCTCTTGCGTTTACTAAAAGCTCAGCAGAATAATAATAAGTCACAATCGCAGGTTATTTTGGCGCAGAAGACCTTGTTTCAACTTGTTTACATGCAGTCAGTTGGTTTACAAAACACATTAGCGCCACCTGCAGCACAGGATGACATTACACTGCTGCGTTCCCTGCAGGTTTTCAATGCTGTTCACTAGCAGCTGTTAGTTAAAAATGTGTATGTGCATAATATTGTGTATGTTCAAAATAAACACAATAAAGTAGATTTACAAGAATTGTGATTTAAAAGAGAGAATTGTATGACTAATTTTGTTCAGAAAACAAGTGAGCAACAATGTACTTGCTAATTTCTGCAAACTAGAATTTCAGACATTTCACAAATTAAAAAAAAAATTTACAGGTCAGCTTGTGACAAACTGAATGTTCTTACCAGTATGTTTTCTGACCAACTAATATTAAAATGCACCAACTTCTGTTTGTAAAATGCAAAACAAAGGAGGCAGGAGGATAATAATAATTCTGAAGCATTCGTTTTTCATTCAATGATTTGTGTATGTCACACAGCAGATATTATTTGAATTAAATGAATGTGATTTCCATGAACCATGTTAAACATCAGCATTTATTGAGATATTGAACTGTCTGAAATGTGTATTCTGGATTCTGTGGTACTGGATTCTGTCGTTGACTTCTGATCACTTCAGTCACTGTATATTGGATTTTTAAACTGATAATCTGCCGGAGAAATGAAAGAAAACAACACAATTAATTTTTTTTTGGCTGTGATAATTGTTCTGAAAAAGTGCCATGTAATAAAACTTCATTAATATACAAAATAAATGACATTTAAGAACAATGCAAAGTAATTACGTTTTTGTTTTTTCCGTTTTTTGCCAGCATTTGCTGGAATGGAGAGCTCCGCCTGGTTGACTGAAATTTTTCAGAAACATTTTTGGGGTTATTTCAGTTGTAGCACATACAGCTAATCTGTTTTTCCCAGCACAAATATTGCCTTACCATAATATGGTTTTACATCTGAAGGATGACTTGTAGTTGGCTCAGGAGCAGCTCTGAATGCTGATTTTAGTTTTTTTTCAAAATTAGATTTGCATTATTTATCTTGTAAAGTAATACAATAAATCAAGAACCAAAAATTATGATTCACCTCTCTGAGGATGTTGCCCCTGCTGCACAGCAGAACTTTGATTTGGAGCATGTATATCATTTTCTGGACAAAGAAAAACATTTATAATTTTACCCAAAATCATGAAGAAAAAAAATAACACCATCTTGAAGTCCAATGTGAAAACAGTACAAATATGATACATCATTCATACCATAAACAGTAGTGGGGCCCCTCCTCACACCTTCAGAAATAAGATCAACAGACAAACAAAATGTTTGTTCTGAGGTAAGATTAATCAATAATACCATATCACAACATCATATATTCTTTGACCAGAAACATTTTGGTCTGCTGAAATTGCAAAATGCGTAGTGGAGGGATAATGATTCAAATATTGATATGATTCACTTGTCCTTAGTACCTCCCTGTTCTAGCTTGTACTGTTCTAAACAATGTCTGAAAATTTGTATTACAAACACTTCTTGTGTTTATTTAGCCTCTTTATGATGAATTTCTTCTTGTATTCCTCATTTGTAAGTCGCTTTGGATGAAAGCGTCTGCTAAATGAATAAATGTCATTGAAAAAAAAAGTAATTCGGCATTTATTTGAAATACAAAATAGTAATAAAAAAACTTGTGTAGTGTTATAAATGTCTTTATTGCCACTTTTGATACATTTTATGCAAAAGAAAGGTAGTAATTTCTTTCTTTTTGTTATTTTTTAATCTTACACTGACACTGAATACTGGAATAATGGCTAATGAAAATTCAGCTTTGCCATCATAGGAATAAATGACATTTGAATATAAAAACACTTATAAGTAATCATATTTATCATTATTAATATTTCACAATATTACAGTTTTTACTGCATTTTTGATCAAATAAGTGCAATTATTTCCAAGAAACCAATATGCACATCTAACTTGTTTCTCTCTCAAATGTTCCAAGCAGCCTTGGTTTAACATTTTGTATGTAGTGCAATGACATGCATTGATTTTTAAGTGCAATTGTGTGTTTTTCAAGACCACATGCTGATAAGTAAAGCATGTTTCTTACCCCGCGTGTTTCTATGTCCACTGCTTTCTGTATTCTGTGTTTCTTCGGGGG